ATAGGCAGAATATATTAACGACAAAGACCAGATAGACTGGAATGGCCATTTCTGGCTTAATAGCCATCGTCAACCCCTCATACCCAGCCCCGATTTGTGGAAAACCTGGGGATCGAACTCGCGAACTTTTTGTTAGAAGTCCAATGCCTCTTAACACTGGGCGACTGGTCTGTAGTCCTCTCGTTCTCGGTCGCGAATATACAATGGGAGCGGGATGCTGACCGATCGTTCTTACAGAATTCACTCCTTCCTATCAAGTCGGATGGCGGTGTGTGCGCGTGGCCGATAACGAAGACGAACGGGAACGAAGGCGAATGCCACATTTCATGCGGTTTTGATGACGCGACACACATGGGTGTGCGAGTGCCAGAGAAGAAGTGCGACTAGAAGACTGACGAACAGACATTTGATGGCAACCCTGTCCTGTCAGAAGTATCACTCAGCAGCACTGCAAAGATGACAACTGGGTAGGTGGGGCGGTGATGTGCTGCCCATCTCATCGAACATTTCCGCACCGGCAAAATTCCAGTTTTCGCATGTTACTATTCAAGGGGAGGCGTGTGCTCTAGACAGTGTATGTTGGCCAGTCATGCCAGTGTATGTATGTGTAAGCTATATTTGCAAATTCGCCGTAGGCCAGTCCGAAGTTATGCGGTTAGAAAATGAATTTGACAGGCAACATCTAAATCAGCAGAATTGGTAGGGAATTGCACTTACATCGTTCTTGGGAGCTTGAAATTCTCAAATAGTTGTCGCCGCGAGATATGAAGTCACCGTTTTCATAGAAGTATGTTTCCTCGTCCAAAAATAATTTCTATTTGCAAAATAAGAAATCATATTCGGACATGATTTAGTCTAGGCATGTATGTTGTCGCAAGCCTACTCCTAAATTTATCTTGCATCGTCTAATTATATCGAGAGACAATGAAATTCTTTTGACTGTACTAAATTGCAAGAAGAATAATCCATGCAGTAGACAGTTCATCGAGACGGCCAGAGCATGCTGGTCAAGTAGAATGTTGCTGATGAAAAGCGGACTCCTCCACAAACACGCCGATGTATTCCGTCTACCTACTCAAACACCCTATCAGCCTTATGACATTGCCTAAATATAAAATGGCATAGAGCGATATCACTGTAGTGGCCACATTGACTGACTGCGGTACAGGCATGGCAGCATTTCTAATGAGTGCTTTACCGTGGCATGCTCTGGTAAGAGCGCCTGGATCACGATGCAGTTATCGACCAAAGTAACCGTGTTGTCCTCCGTTCCGTTTGAGCAAGGCTCCGTTGGCGACTCAGAAGTATAGGGACCTGCGGACATGTAACACACGTGTATAAGAACTTCATTCAGGCAGTTGAGCATTTAACGAAGAAGAAGAAGAAGAAGAGCAGACATGCGTGGGCTTAATTGGGGAAAAAGGGATCGAGTAGATTTCACACTCGGGAGGTACGACCCACTTGGACTGTTCTATCTAGAGTAGGTGTTTCAGAGAGAAGCAGAATACACTACACTATGCAGCATCAAGTACGTAAGCGCACTGTGCAAAGAACTGCCAGTTGAACGGCTTTGTCTCCTACACAATCTTGACAGCGGTAGCTAAGACGAAATTTGTCGGAATGCAAAGCGAATGGACTCGAGGCATATCCGAGACACCGTGCAATGTGATGGGAAGCACTGTGATCTACGAGGTCGCTCAGATCTTGAGGACAAGCTAACGTAAGTAGACCTCATGAAGTGAATGTAAGAACGCATGCAAGTCGTAAACCCTGCCCCATAGTTCAATCAATAGTAGGAAGCATAGTCGGCATGCTGAATGAAACGACTATTTCCTTCAGTAAATTCGCGAATAGAAACGAACGCGTGATTGAGATATATGATGGCCAGAAAGCAAAATACTCAAGAAAAGCAGTGCTCAAATGACGCAGAGCTTGACAATGTAAACTGATGAGAGAATAGATTAAGCAGGAAAGAGGATGAAAACGACCAACGCCGAAGGACGTCAAAGAGAAGAAACCCAGCTGAAGGAAGTTTAAGTTAATAGCAAATACAAGTCCGTGAAATGAAATTCGTGATAATGTTTGCCTCGAATTACAGACGAGCATGGAGTGGGGCATTACGGTGACTCTACTTCGGGCGTCTGCTCCGATATTTCGACTCGGTTATACTTGCATGTTCGTAGCACTGATAGTCTGCTTATCGGCCGGCAATCACAACTACCAAAAGAAGTCAGTCAACCGCAAGGCCGTCTCGGACGTGTCCTCGATTAAGACGCCTGACGCCTGAATCTGTGACATTTTGCTGGCTGCTCTTGCGATGCTGGATGCGTGCCCTCGTTCGCCTGTCGTCTTGCCGTTCATTCTCTACGTAATGCAATAATCCGCGGGGATTGAAATGCTCGCCGGAATCGACAACTTTCTCCTGGATGAGGAAGGACTAACCAAGTGATGATTCAATGTAAATCAACAAAATATCCAACTGACTAACAGATGACAGCCTATAGAATATGCCTTTTAATATCGCTTTCTGACAGATTGATACATTGGATACTATTTTCTGGAGAAGTCTGCTGTCTCGTGCAAATTTGCTTAAAGCGCACGTTTGCCTTCATTGCTACTGTCTAAATGAGGGACCATTCCGATTTAGAAAACTGTATCATTTCCTTAGTGCTTGAGACACTAGTGTCATTTGGCATTTGGGCAGGTGGCTTAGAGACGAGAAGTTGCAAACCTCTACTGTGTGAGGGAATTGGCACAATTGTCTGTGCATTTAGGACCACACCGTGCAGTGCGAGATGAGAAGAGCAAAAGATGTGGAGCAGGTTGCATGCTAAAATAGTCATTGCTGTCCAGACATTATAAGACGTCATTTGAAAAGAAAATTTCCAGTAGTATGTAGCTTCATAGAAAAAATGGACACACATCGTACAATGTACATGTAGGTCTGCTTTGCCAGACATTGGCCAAATGCAGGCAAACATGACTAAGGAGACAGGGACAATACCGATTTCCGTTGTGGGCGTTTGCGATTGCATCATGTCGGCTGTGGTTGATGTGGGGGATGTGGTCTCCTCCTCGTCGACGTAGTGCAGATCTGAAATGAACAAGAGGGATCTTACTGATGCATGCGATATCCTATTTGATGCGCAGATGAGGATGATGCATTTGTGGTTGCCTGATATGACTGTCAATGCTGTATGTAACGCAGGTAGCTTGATTGCTTTGCTTGAAGTGACCGGGTACAACAGAAGGGAGTTGGAGTTCCAGCAAATGCAGGCTGAGTAGAAAGCATCTGGAGAATGAGCATTGTGCCCGACGTGGCTGTCAGGTCAGTTATATGATAAGTAGTTATGATCGTGAGACGCAACTCTGGCTGTTAATGAGCGAGTATTTGATGTTGATATGTCCAGTTGTGTGTTTACTTGATAGATCTATTATGTCGCTCATTTGCTTGCACGTGTAGACGACGGCTATCGTTCATTAAATGACAATCGTCTCTCACCTGCTCCTCTCCCAATATAGGCTCTTCCTACCGGCCAATCTCCGGCAGCCGCCTATAACTCTGAGTGTATCACTGAGTTCATCACAGCACACGACAACTCCACTCTGCTACCAAAAATCATGTATCTACACCAAGAATTCACACACATCATTCGTGTTACGCGTATGTCTACATTTTCAGTCTTTGGCTAAATGCACGCAAACAGGGGTAAGGAGACAGTGGGAATACCGGTTTCCGTTGTGGGCAACTGCGAATGCGACATGTCGGATGTGGTTGATGGGGAGGATGAGGTCTCCTGTTCGACATCGGGCAGGCCTGAAATGGGCAAGAGGGCATTCACTAAGGCATTCGCTGAACTAATGAACAATATCAATATTAGCATCGGTTCTGTTCAATAAGACAGTTACCGAGGAAAATGCCTGCCTGACATCGCCGGTACAAATTTAGCTCGCATTCTTCTCAACGGTCTAAACAACTATCCGGAATAAGTTCTCCTGCCGGGAATCCGGTGCGGCTTACGCCGTCAATGCGGAACCACCGACATAATTTTCGTCGTCCGTCAGCTACAGTAAAAGGTTAGAAACATGCCGACCCACCTCTACTTTACCATCGCGCATTTGTCGAATGCCCTCGTCACGGTTAGACACGAAGGACTACGGAAAAATCAGGCCGAAATTAGTCCGGCCCGAATGATCCACATCAGATAGCGCGTCCGCCGCCGAACTACCACTGCCATCCTATCACACCACCACGTCTCCTACTCCTCCTCCTCCTCCTCCTCCTCCTCCTCCTCCTCCTCTTCCTCCTCCTCCACCACCACCACCACTACCGTCATCTATCGCCTCAACCTCCGCTGCGCCTGCTCCCGTTTAGTCTATCACTCACACATTTCTGACGGTCCAACCACGCGTCAAGCGACGTGGCTTGACAGGATGATGACTGACTCAACAAGTCATTGCACACAGACTGCCCACTTGTGAGTACAAATGTTGAGTGCAGACTGGTGGTTTGGCAGGCAGGTTGAAACGGCTCCTTCTTAACGTGACATATGCCACACTCACGCATGTGAATCTATCACGGTGTGCTAAAAGACGTGGCTTGAAATTTTGCCGTCCGACGAAATAACTTGGAATTCGCTGTCAGCCCAAGCTTTGTGTCTGTGTGTGAACTGGTGGCCGACTGGTGGTCTAAGAGTGCGGCTGAAATGGCGGGCACAGTGAGGTCTATAACTGCAGCTAATAGACATGAATGACGCTGAAATGCTAGAGCTGCATGAGGTCTGTTGCTGCATTACGCGATTAGGCTTATATATTCAGTACTGATCTGCATTAACGTGTGAACGTATTTCCTCCTATCGTGTGAAAGCAATCAACGCTAGACGGCCAGATATGTGTATAGTGGGCAAATGTCAATGTAAATGCACTCCTCCAAGTGGCTCAACTGTTCTCCTCCATTTGGACATATATTCCTTGAGCCTCTGCTTACATATCGAACTAGAAAATTAAATAATGTGGAGTTGTCTGTTTATGCAGACATGTGCTCGCTCGGATGACACTCATCACCTATAGGTCTGTTGTGCGGGCCTTTGAAGAAATGCAGACGAACAGGGGCAAGGAGACAGTGCGAATACCGGTTTCCGCAGTGGGCGTTTGCGATTGCATCATGTCGGCTGTGGTTGATGAAGGGGAGGAAGTCTCCTCCTCGTCGTTTTCGTCGTTGTGCAGATCTGAAACGGACAGGAGGGCTTTTACTGGCTTATTTGGTGGTCTTTGTGATGAGGAGATTAGGAGGAAGCAATTGTGGAGACCTGATGTGTCTTGCAATACGTATTTGATGACAGGTAGCATGATTGATTTGCATGAACTGGCCAGGTGACACGACAGAAAAGTGGCAATTTCTGCCAAGTTGAGAACACTGGCACAGCAGGCTGAAATCGGCCCTTCTAGCGGAAGAATTCTGACATCAACGCACACCATCTCCATGCTGCTGCACCGACTTACAGACTCATCTGCCCACTGGTCTCGTCATACAATATGTTGCTGACCTACGTGACACGCAGTATTCGTTTTACGCGTCCGTCTCCATTTTCAGTCTTTGGCTAAATGCAGGCAGACAGGGGTAAGGAGACAGTGCGAATACCGGTGTTCGTTGTGGGCGATTGCGATTGCGACATGTCGGATGTGGTTGATGAGGGGGATGAGGTCTCCTGGTCGTCATCGGGCGGGCCTGAAATGGACAAGAGGGCTTTTACTAAGGCATTTTCTGGCCTCATGATCAAATCATTAATGGCATTGGTTCTGGGATATTGTGTGAATGTTATCAGAGTTGAAAGGCAGACATCGGTCGGGTGAACAAAGTGTCATGCGACGGAGGGCCGCGTTGGTGACTGACTGGAGGTCAGGAGGATGTGTAGAATATGTGAGATGGTGAACCCTTCCGGAAGCGGAATGGCAATGGTGGGCTCTGCGACAATCACCGAGAAACATTCCTGCCTGACATCGCCGGAACAATTTCAGCTCGCATTCTTCTCAGCGGTCTGAACTAACATCTGGAACAGGGTCTCCTGCCGGAAAGCCAGTGCGGCTACCGCCGTCATCGGGAAACCACCGACCTCATATTCGTAGCCCGCCAAATGCAGGAGAAGTGTGAGATGATGCTGACTCACTTCCGTGGCTCTGACATATGCCTTCGTCGCGATAAAACACAAAGGACTACGACAAAATCATGCAGAAATTCGGCTGTGTCAAACGATCCACATCAGATAGCGAGTTCGCTCTTGAACCACCAATACATTCCCTCCTCTCCTTCTCCCCCTCCACCTCCTTCTCCTCCCCCCTGCGCCTCTTTCTCAGCCCCCGCCC